GATGTTGACAGCGCGCGCCTTCAGGGTGCAGCCACACTATCCTAAAAACGGCGTATCGGCGTAACGGCGTAACGACCTTGAATCGATTTCCAGTAATTCTATTGGCTAAAATGTTTGACAGATGAATTTGACAGATAAAATTTCTGACAGATGAATGTTTCAGCCAATAGAATTACTGGAAATCCATTCAAGGTCATTACGCCCGTTACGCCGATACGCCGTTTTTAGGATAGTGTGCCTGCACCCTCACAGAATAGTAACAGGGTTGTGTCGAACGATCACAGGGTTGGCGACCAGGGAACGTAAAAATTACGCGTCAAATAATCTATCCGGCCTGAACGAGAGGGAATCCGGTGATGATAGGCCAGACATCATATATTATATATAAAAAAAACATGTAACGAACTAAAAACGTTACAGACCGAATACCATATTAAAGATACAAAAATTTAAACTGTATGAGTTATTATTTGGCCATCGTTTGTTATATTCAATTGCAATTTAATATGTGTTTGGCTTTCACTATGATCCCACTCGGCTTGTCTCGTGGCAGGTTTGTGTAAAAAATGGATAGAAAATGTCTCGCTCTTGTCTCGCTCTTGTCTCGCTCTCGTCTCGCGCTCGGCTTGTCAGGTCTGGACGCACCATAGACTGCCGGAGTGCTGACGTCACGAATGTCAAATTGCTTTCCAAACAAGGTTTAGTTCTTTTATATTTGTATATATTTGTATATTGAGCTCTTCCAAAGTCAACGTCACAAGTTAATATAAAATGTAAAAAAAAACAGGTGATTGCCGACAACCGCCGACTTGTGTCTGGTATTTTCAATACGCCTATGATGGTTGCGCATGTTGCTAAAATTGAACTAATTAGACAGTTATATTGAAGTAATGTCAAACATATCACAGATCACAGCCATCTAGATTTTATCAAATAATAAAGATCTACTCACACACTAAATCATAAAAATGAAAACATCTAGGAAAATATTTCTTTGAGGGGTTGGCAACCCTAACGATATTTTGAAGAGACACGAATTCTCCATTGAATATCGGAATAATATACTGGGTGTTCCATTTAAACTAAAGGAGTAACTTGCTTTTAGAGGTGACCAATGTTTAACATTAATTTTGTCTCACCCTGTATAACTTCTTTGGTCAGGTTTTAGTTTGATTTAAAGCACAATAGTTATTTTAACTACATATTAGACTATACCGGGCAAACTCCAATTTAGGTAGCTTTTATTCAAATTTTAAAATTGTTCTTCATTTTTAGAAAATATTAAAGTCAAAAACCTTACATTTCAGTCATAGACTTTCCTAATAAAACTCACCTTTATTTTTCTCCTAGAACCCAAAAATCTATTAATATATAGGGTGTTACATTATTAATTAACTGTAATATATCACATTAAATTATTAAGAATATAATAGTTAAGCATAGGCAATTTTTATTACTTGCTTCTTCATGGATTTAAATTTAAACAATACTATTTAAGGCAAGCGCAATAACGTTAGCTGTTTTGCACGCAGCTGGAAGTCGCTCTCTTCCATGTCCAACCATCAAAGTGTTAACGGTATTTTCCGTATCGATCTGATTCATCAATCTAACATTTATTAGTAAAATAAAATAAGTTTAAATAAATTCGTGTTTCCTTTCTCAACCATATCAAAAGACATTACATTAACCTATACAGGGTGTCCCAGAAATAAGTGCAAATATTTTAACTGGTAGTATAGTTCAACCCCAGAAACACGCCTATAGGCCGCCTCAGACACGCATGCTTTTCGTCCGTTTTGCTTGCACAGTCTTAAGTTGCTATGCAAGACGGTGTGTGTGAAGCATCAAGTCGTCCGTTTTGTTTATCGTGTACCGTCAATTGACTGGCTTGAACGCAATCAGCCGCGGGTTGATTTTTCGTTCGCGTTCCAACTTGCTTGCGAAGAAAACGTTGAGTCTGATTGGTCTTCAGTCTTGCATTACGTCTTATTTAAAAAAAAAAATTAGAGGAAGTATTTGCATACCCAGAATATGCCCATTAAGGATTATATATCTCAAATTTCCTTTAATGGTAGGCAATTATTCAATGCAAATTAACTTTTTAAGTGAAATATTAAATAGTTTACAATATGGTATATCACTAAAAATATATTACTTTTAGGTACAATTAGGGCCCGATACATTTCAAAAAGTAGAATATTATTTTATATTAAATGAGGTATTGTACCAACAATCAATTTATATTAATACCGGAGATTAAAAAATAACAGAATAAATAGTTCTTTTTTTTATACTACAAAAATAAACTATAGAATACAACAGTATTTAAAAAATTAAATAAAAAAGTTATGCCCCGGCCGAGAATTGAACTCCGCTCTTTCGCTTCCTAGACTCTTTACGCACTGCTCCACAGTAGCTTGCTTAGCGATAGTTCAATGACGGTATATAAACAAAAAAACAGGTTTATAACAATATCTTAACGATTTGAACTGGCGCGCGGAGCGTGCTGACCAATAGCGCCTGTTATCACCTGTGACGTAGCGACCAACCTGCGCAATATCATACCTTGTATTCTTTGTACCATGCCTAAATACCTAAAGTACTAAGTTAAGACTGAGTGTAAGACGGAGTGTATGAAGGATTGCCAGCGTTCAGGGTTGCATTGCAACTTATGACTGTGCAAGCAAAACGGACGAAAAGCATGCGTGTCTGAGGCGGCCATATGAGTTTTTTTTTGCGAAAAAAAAATGTTGAAAATTTAAAATTTTTCTTGGCATTTTCCGGGAAATTTGAAAAAACTTTTTAGTGCCACTTGTTTATTCACCTGAGATTTCCCTACGGTGTATCTAAACCTTGCAGTGTTGCAACCTCCTATGTTATCCACATTCTACATAGTTCGGCGGAACATAGTTCTACATTTATAAATTCATAGACAAATTTCTACTCAAAAAATTAGGAATGTTAAATTTAATCTTTTATCAGTGCTCATTATTAATAATTATAGAAAAAAAAAACACATTAATTATTTTTAGTACTTACCCTTTCAATGAAAACTTAACAAAAACCACCGAAAATTAACTAAAACATTACGTTTATGACGTTTACGAAAATCTTTGTTATGCTGCAAAATAACTTTATTTTGGAATAAATTTAATAAAATGATTCATATTATTCACAAGCAGGTCACAAAAAGAAATTCCTAAAATGTTTATCGTAATTTAGAATTTAATTCAAGAAATTTTGAAAACATTTAGAAAACAACGAATAATCCATTCATTTTTGTTTTGTTTGTTTTCTTTCATGTTTCTCTGTTTTATTTGAACCACTGTTTTACAAAACACCTTGAAAAGCGCACATTACTTTGAATACCTTTCTGAATGAATAAATGTTGAGAATTATTGTCTCTTATCGCCACTTTACGAACTACTTTCAATCTAAGAAAATACATGTTTCACTCAACAATTATTGACAACGTATTTTGTTTTTTCGCTATTTTTTCGATGTATTTCGACAATTCCATCGACAGCCTAACCGTCAGCCAAGAACTGCTGCGTGTGAACTGGTCCTTTGAGTCGCCGGTCGCCGCGCCGCGCCGTCGTGGCGGGCTTGCGTCAGACAACGATGTTAAGCAACGTTGCCGTAGTTCAAATTCAAGACATTCGAAGCAATCAAATTCGTATTAAATTTTAAAAATAAAACAGAGAAACATGAAAGGAAATAAACGAAACAAAAATGAATTGATTATTCGTCGGGCTGTTTTCGATGTATTGAATTCTGAATTACGATAAACATTTTAGAAATTTCTTTTTTGTGACTTTATCAATAACCAATTCATTTGTGTTTTGTTTGTTTTCTTTCATGTTTTTCTGTTTTATTTTTAAAATTTAATAAGAATTTGATTGCTTCGAGTGTCTTGAATTTGAAATTGTTGAAACTACGGCAACCTCGCATGACGCAAGCTCGACACGGCGGCGCGACAAAGGAGCAGTTTCCAGTGATGCGCCGTTCTCGTGGCTGACGGCCGACGCGACGGTTGGGCTGTCGATGGAATTGTTGAAATACATAGAAAAAATAGCGAAAAAACAAAATACGTATTTAAAAATGTTGAGTGAAACATGTATTTTCTTAGATTGAAAATAGTTCGGAAAGTGGCGGTAAGAGACAATAATTCTCAACATTTATTCATTCAGAAAGGTATTCAAAGTAATGTGTGCTTTTCAAGGTGTTTTGTAAATCAGTGGTTCAAATTGTGATGAGGCCTATATGAAAATAATGTGTTAAAAATGGGGACTGTTATTTTAGTAGTTATTATAATAGCATGTACAAGTAAAGCAGCACAGTGAAGTGTATTTTAGTTAAGTGTATTTCGAAAAAGAGAACTGTCACAGTTACATCGATCTGTCATAAGTATCTTTTTAATGTTGGGTAAGTTTTTAATTTAACTTTTTTAACACATTTTTTAACACATTATTAAACATTTAACTTTTAATTTATTTTATGTAATAATATCACAATCTTAAAAATGTAATGCATCTCTGCAAACTCCTCAGGTGTTGTGATTTTATGACTTACTTTTAACATATACTTTCTTGTCCCTATGGCAACACAGTGCGTCGAATTAACTGAAATCCGGGCTGGATTCGGGTAATTGGATGTAGTTGGCGATATCTGCCGACGGTTCTCAAAATGTTGCGATTTTTTTTTAATTTTCAAAGTTAAATAACTCGGTTATTTTCAATTTATTTTAAAAATGGTAAAGAGAAAATATGTTTATTTTGACCAGATCTACCAGCCCTTAAAATATCTGCACTCATTTCTGGGACACCCTGTATATGCTCACAAAATTTCATTTCAATACAAACTGTCCTCCTTGGAACCTCCGTGTCGTATGAGAGGCGCCACCGTGTACTTGTTTACTGCACTTATATCTACGACACCCTGTATAAATACTTGGAGGGGGTCATGAATATAAAAAACAAGATTTTAGGAAAAATGCCTTTAATAGGGTTTAGATATTATATACACTTCCATAGAATTTGTAGTGTTGATATCCCTAATAACATCATCGTCCAATTGTTTGTTCTTCTTACTCCCGAAATTTCCATTCTCCCTTGAACTTCGGGATACACTGGACTGTATGTCTTAAAATACCAAACCATCATTTCCAAATCTCCCAAGTCCTGTGTGGTTTTATTTATGGCACGTTCTCTGAAAACTGTAATTCCATCTCCGCCGTTAGATAGAAAACTAGACGTAACTACTGTATAATTCCGTCCTCTGTTTAATGTCTCATAGACAGGTATTAGGCAACTGCCACACCTAACTAGAACACTTTCAACTCTGGAGTAAGGTGGATTGGACATATCCACTTGCAGGCGAATCCCGGAAACTTGTGGGAATTCTCCTTTGGAGGTGTCTCCTTCCGATCTAACCATTTGTTCCAAAGCGTACAGCAAATTGGAACCGGTTAAAGTTAGTGTTACAACTTGGTTACCGAATGGTAGAGCTCTGAGTAGATCATCGCGGGAAACAGAGTAGTCGTAACGGTGTGGTTTGATGGTGTTTCTCATACCACCTGCGTTGTAGATTCCTATGGGAGCGATGGTCCATCTGTCGGTCGTTAGTGACGCGACGTAAGCTACGTGAACATCAGTTATAAAATTCCCAAAGTTGCACTCTTTTAAACGGCATGAATCAGAATGACCATCCAATACAACTCTTGAAAAGCCTACTTTTTCTTGAGTTAATTTGGCCATAGTAGGTCTATAAACTTCAAGTAATCCCAAAACATCTTTTTGCTGAGCTATACTGTTATCCAGAAATATCGGTTGTCCGGAAACGTGTTTTAGTTTGCCTCTAGTGTCAAAAGCGACCTTTAGCACACCTAAGTACTTGGTATAAGCATAGGCTTGGACTACCGGCACTCTTTTACCCGAAGTTTGAGTTATTATTTTAGGATAAACGTCTTCTTTAGTTTCCGAATCCGGCTCTTTTCCGTTCCATAGAAAGGTGTTTGTGTGGCCTCCGATGACTATATCAACTTCCTTTACTTCTCTAGCGATTTTTTTGTCTACTTCGTAACCAGAATGTCCGAGAGCTATAATGATTTTTACACCTTCATTAACAAGTCTCTTGGCCTCTTTTCTGACCTCTCGGACTTCGTCGAGGATTACTACCTTTCCCGGTGAAGATGATGTGGTAGTTTTGGGGGTTAGATATCCTACAACGCCTACTTCGTACCCTCCTCGCACTTGTAATATGACGGATTTCTGTATTTTTAACAGAGAGGGTTCATTTCTGTAATCTAGGTTGGCAGCTACAAATGGCGCATCTACTGCATTGACAAACTTCGCCAAAACTGCGGGTGTCAAGTCGAATTCATGGTTTCCTAGTGCCTAAAACCAAGAGTTAATTAGTATATTTACAATTGTTTCTTTTTTCTTCAACCATCAATTTATATATGTCGCAGGCATATCGAACAACGGCATTTTGCAAAAAGACTAGGCTTATTATAAAACGCCGGCGTTTTTAACAAAGGAAGGATACTTTACAAAGAGCCTATCTGAATGCATGGTTTCCTAGTGCCTAAAACCAAGAGTTAATTAGTATATATAAAATTGTTTTTTTTTCTTCAACCATCAATTTATATATGTCGCAGGCGTATCAAATAGCGGCATTTTGCAAAAAGACTAGGCTTATTATAAAACGCCGGCGTTTTTAACAAAGGAAGGATATTTTACAAGAGCCTATCTGAATGCATGGTTTCCTAGTGCCTAAAACTAAGAGTTAATTAGTATATATACAATTGTTTTTTTTTCTTCAACCATCAATTTATATATGTCGCAGGCATATCGAATTACGGCACTTTGCAAAAAGACTAGGCTTATTATAAAACACCGGCATTTTAACAAAGGAAGGATATTTTACAAGAGCCTATCTGAATGCATGGTTTCCTAGTGCCTAAAACTTAGAGTTAATTAGTATATATACAATTGTTTTTTTTTCTTCAACCATCAATTTATATATGTCGCAGGCATATCGAATAATGGCACTTTGCAAAAAGACTAGGCTTATTATAAAACGCCGGCATTTTTAACAAAGGAAGGATATTTTACAAAGAGCCTATCTGAATGCATGGTTTCTTAGTGTCTAAAACTAAGAGTTAATTAGTATATATACAATTGTTTTGGTTTGTATATATACTAATTAATTAAATCCTGTTTTAGGACTTCTATATAAAACAGTTCATTATTTATTCTTAAATAGAAATGAAACACAGAAAAAAGTGACCGTAATATTCTGAGATTATTCCCTAAACTTTTTTTTGGATTAACAATATTTACATTTACATTGCATTTTGGTTTGCATTGCATAATGGGTAGTTCTCTCATTTCAAAGACTAACAACAAATCGATAGGAATAAAATATTGATACCGTGAGGAGGCGCCACCCGTGCTCCTCTGGTTCAGTCCGCCCCTGAAGAATCAGAGTGTAGTAACTAAATAAGATATTAATATTAAGGTTTTAATTTTGTATTTAAAATTATGTTACTTATAATTATAATTTATGAAATAGGGTTCAAGTTATTTTCGTCTACACAAAATAAAATTTTGACATAAACTATTGTTTTTGTATAGACAAAAATGGGGTATTTTTATTATAAAGCGTAAATTATTCAATATGCTGATGTCCATAGCTGAGTAAACTTTGATCATTTTTCAATCTGCCTGGCCTTGATTTGGCATTTTGTAAAATGACTGAACATAGGCAGTCTTTTTGCAGAAGTGTACTGAAAATATCGTCATTGTTTAATATGCCTAATTCTGATTAGGCTTTTTGTAAAAATTACTTCTTTTGTTTAAAAATCTGGCGTTTTGTAATATGCCTAGTCTTTTTGCAAAAAGCCGGATTATTCTATACGCCTGCGAAATATATACAGGGTTATTTCTTACGATGTTCTCTATGAGTATCTCGGAAACTATTGGAGACAGAGTCGGTTAAATGGGGAAAGAGTTGCAGTTTTGTGATGTGATAAATATTATACGCCTTTCAGATTTTTGAAAAAGTTCATGGCTTACTAGATATTTCGAAATAAAAAACAAATTTTGACTATTTTAAAAATTGTCCCTAATTCCATTATAATCTATTTTAGACAAACCATAGATAGAAGTTGTATATAATTACATCCCTAATGAGGTTGTGTTCTCCGATTTTTTCTAAAGCCTGTCATTTTTGACATATGATACAAACTTATGTTTTTTTAAATGGAAACCATAGTTGGCCATGACTTCATAAAAAGCGCCATTTTTTAAGCTTTTCACCGATATAAGCTATAATATGTTTTCTTCGAAAAATTACTGAGTTATAGCCAATTCTTATCATTTTTAAACAATTTCACTTAGTTCACTGTCACATCCAAATTTTGTAAATTAAAATAAACAAAAATTGTAAATATGAATTTTTCAAACCAAGAAAAGCGTGTAGGATTATTGATTCAACTTTTCTTGACTATACATTTTCGAGGATACGTTGACCGGTGAATGTTACGTTTTTTAGAGAACGGTTTTCAAGACATGTTAGAAAAGTTCAATTTAGTTATAGCCAATTCTTATCTTTTTTGACTAATTTAAATTGCATGGTATTCTCATTCTGTTCTGGTTTATTATAACTTCTAAAAAGTCAGAATATATTACTAAACGGTTCTTTACAATTTACATTACACAAACTAAAACTTAAAAAAATAATATCACTACATACACTTTAAGTTACTTTAGAAAATGTTCAAAAAATCCGCCATTGTTTTGAGTTGCATCTTTTTAAAACTGAATTACTACATATTCTCACAGAAGGACCGGTCGACTTAATTAAACTTCTGTCGTACCGCCACTTCGAGTGCCTCTCTTAGAATAGATTGTCGCTTAGAGTAAATTGTCACTTTGTACAATTATACAATTGACACTTAAAATAAATTGTCACTTAGAATATTTTATACGTCGACTTGACGAGTATGTCACGGCATGTTTAATTTTTTACGAAAAACATCGAGAGAATACTGTTTCCTCCTTTACAGATGCCCCGTAGCTACAGAACGGATCGACGTACTGTACTTTACATATTATGTATATATGTTTTTTTTCGAAAAATTATAGTTATATCGAATTCTTATCATTTTTAAACAATTTCACTTAGTTAGCTATGGAAACAAGATCAATCGTTGTGAAATGTGAAACTGTCACTTCCAAACTTTGTAAATTAGGCCAGTAAACGTAGCCGAGTATTATATACAAAGGTGGAAAAAATTAGTAACCAACCGATCTCAACGGGAATATGTAGATAATGATCTCCTATTTAACCCCTCAAAAGTCCCATTCGGTCCCAGTGGGGGAAGTTTGAAAAAAATCCATCTTGGATATATAACATTTCCTGTTAATGAAATGTTATAAGTTTTAAATTCAAGAAGGGATTGGTAACAAGTAAGATCTTTTACAATATGGATGAAAGAAAGATCAAAAAGCAATCTGACATCTATTCTATCAACAGAAGATGTGGCGCCTCCTGACCTATTAAAATAATTTTTTTGCAATTGCAAAGAGAGTCAGTGTTCTAAAAATTGCTCTTGTAGAAAACTGGGTCTTAAATGTTCTGCAAAGTGTGGTGAGTGCAACGGAATCAGTTGCACAAACTTTTGTATTTTAGTTGAAGCGTAAAATGACGCTCAGGATGACGCCATAGCAGATTTTATTTAATAACTTTAATTTAATAATAATTTCATTTAATAAATAGTATTTCAACGTTATTTTTATATTAACACTGATTGGTTTAAAAAACTGGAAAATTTATAAAACGTATAGGAAAAATTGCTCTATCTCTATTACTATTTATTTTAGAAAAACAAAAAGATTGAAGGTAAAATATTCTAAATTAAATTCTCTACAAAAAACATATCTTTAGTTTTTTCGAAAAAAGTTATGCAAACCGAGATATTTGACAAAAACGAAAAAATTCAAGATGGCGGCGATTTTTTTCAAACTTCCCCCACTGAGACCGAATGGGACTTTTGAGGAGTTAAATAGGAGGTCATTATCTACTCATTCCCGTTGAGATCGGTTGGTTACTAATTTTTTCCACCTCAACCTCCAAATTGACTGGCCTAAATTAAAATAAACAAAAATTGTAAATATGAATTTTTCAAATGAAGAAAAGCATAGTATGGTTCAACTTTCTTGACCATACATTTTCGAGGATACGTTGACCGGTGAACGTTACTTACGTTTTTTAGAGAACGGGCTTCAAGACATGTTAGAAAAGTTAAATTTAGGTATTCACGCATCAATAGAGTGGTTCAACATGACTTTCATTATGACACTTTCATTATGTCAGGGACCAATTGGATGGGCCTCCTCGATCACCTGACTTATGCATTTTAATTTTTTTTATGCGGTATGGTTAACAACAAGGTTTAATAGGTACAATAGGTTTTTGACAAAAGGCAATACGGGAGAAGTTTAATTAAGTCGACCGGTCGTTCTGTTAGTAATTCAGTTTTAAAAAGATGTATTTATATATATATAATATATATATATATATATATATATATATATATATATATATATATATATATATATAGATTTGGTTTGGAACGTTTTCTAAAATAACTTAAAGTGTATGTACTTAGTGATATTATATTTTAAATCTTAGTTTATGTAATGTAAATTGTAAAGAACCATTTAATAATATATTCTCTCTTTTTATAAGTTATGAATCATAAAAAATAAGAATACCATACCAACCAAGTGAAATTAGTTAAGAAAGATAAGAATTGGCTATAACTCAGTATTTTGTCCGAGATTTTTTCATAAAAAAACATTAAAAAAAAAGCTTAAAAAATGGCGCTTTTTCTGAAGTCATGGCCAATTATGGTTTCCATTAAAAAAAACATATGTGTGTGTCATATGTCAAAAATGACAGACTTTAGAAAAAATTGGAGAATACAAATTCATTAGGGATGCGATTATCTACCTACAACTTTTATCTGAAAACTTTTTGTGTAAAATAGATTATAATGGAATTAGGGACAATTTTTAAAATAGCCAAAATTTGTTTTTTTTCAAAACATCTAGTAAGCCATGAACTTTTTTAAAAATCTGAATGGCGCATATTTATGATCCCACAAAACTGCAATTCTTTCCCCATTTAACCAACTCTATCCACCCTTTATATATGTTGCAGGCGTATAGAACAATCCGACTTTTTGCAAAAAGACAATTAAGACATTAATCATATTACAAAACGCCGGCTTTTTAAACAAAAAGGAGTAATTTTTACAAAAAGCCTAATCAGAATTAGGCATATTAAATAATGACGATATTTTCTGTACACTTCTGCCAAAAGACTG